GACGGAAGAGAAGAGAGAGAGAGAGAGAGAGGAAGAGAAAGGGAAACCTGAAGTAAGAAATGAAAGGAAAGGGTAAGATGAAAAAAGAACAAGAGAGAATGGAATTCTCGATAGCAACTCCACCCTCCCGTTACCCATCGATTTTCACACCGGTTGACGCATCGAGGAGAACTGTCATTCCGGGCACATCCTTCTTCTCTCGTCAACAACAGCAAACGGAGCAACACGGCCTTGCCGACAAGAATGGTCGATATCGAGGTGGGGGGTAGGAGGGGGAGCCAGGCAGTGGTATGTCTGCCCGAGGGGAGTGCCCATCTCGCCATCCCAATCTCAACCCGAGCACCGATCGATCCCCCGCCCTCTCCCGATACCCCTTCCCTCTATATCGCATAGCAGCAGCTCTCGTACCGCACCACCACTACATCTCCTTCTACTCCACTCATACCTCCTACCACTACACCACCTCATCACCTGCACTACCACACTCACCACCGCTCTTCCTTCTGCTTTGCTGATACATTTTGCAAGCTGTACAATTAAGGTGGAGTGAAGTAAATATTAAAGTACCTCAGTTTCTTCCCGAACTATTTCCCGCACTTCCCAGTCATCGGGAATCGCATATAGCTTTTCTGTTATTCCCACATCATCTTCATACCATATAGTGTGCTTCATCTTCATCACGGGTTAGGTTCGTATGTTATATTACTAATGTATACTTGTTCTTGTTACGAAGTCATAGGTCATATGATCGAATACTATCTAATTAGCACATATTAACTGAATAGATAAACCAAAAATTCGGGAAAGTAATACATTAGTTATATTTAAATATACATGTTGACAAATCGTTATTTTATTGGATTGGCTGTACAAAATGTTATTAAAGTTGCTGAAAAACGAAGCGATACGTTGGAATTAACCTTTGATCTCTGTCTTTAATTCAAATTTACTCAAATTATTTATGTAAAAAAATTTGATAAAGGATTAAAATAATTAAAGTATCTAAGATATTTAAGGGAAATATGATCAGCATTTATTTAATTGATGTAAAAAAATCATTCATATTTGTGATGAAAATTTTGAATTTTTGCAGATGGTATCTGATTCATACTATCGAAGTTTAATCGAAGCTGTACGTCAACTACCGGTACTTTATGATCGAACACATCCGGATTTTCGAAATGTACGAAAGCGTAATGAAGCATGGAAACTTGTTAGTGAGACATTATTCAAGCGTGGTTTCTCTCCAAATGAAGGTACGAAAATTTCATTTCATTCCTGTCCTTCTCGTTATCCGTTTATTTGTTAAAGTAAACGGAAAAGCTATTGTTCTTTTTTTTTTTCTTGACAAATATCGGCAATGTTTAATATTCGACAGTGTTTAATATCTTGGTATTCTCGCTTTTTGTTATTCATTTCTGAGAAAACTTTTTGTCTCTTTCATACATTCGTTGGAATAAAAAATCAAAAAAGAAAAGTTTAACTTAGTTTAACATTTAATTTTATAAGAAAAGCTTGACTTTGAAATAAAATTTAACTTTATCGATATCCCCCCCCCCCACTCCCTTTCACCAATTTTAAAATCCTTTACCATTAAGAAACTCATTTTGGGAACTTTCCTCTCACTTCCTTTTGTTTTATGCTGCAGTTAATCGGCACATTATTTACTCATCGGTTTATTTAATATTAGTTGACCAATTTAGAAGTAGTAATTGGGTTATATGAAATGTAAGAACTTTTGAGGGAACTATGTTTCAGTTTCGGTTACGAAATCAAGAGATCGATGGAAAAGCCTCGTACAGAGGTATCGAACTTCAGGACAATTTGGACCAGCATTTATGTTTACTGCAGAAATGCAGTTCCTCGATGAATTTCTCAATGCTGTACCACCACAATCGTAAGTGTTTTTGTTGCATACTGGAAACAGTTGGGGATTCTTTTTTAGTAGGGAAGAGAAAGTCCTAGGACAATATGTGGAGGGTATATATTGATGACATTGTATCACAGATAGCTGATCACAACACTAGCATAACTCAGGTTGTACGGTTATGCGAAGAATTGGACACAAAACAGAAAACAGGTCATGGAAAAATAGAGATTCGATTTAGTGTTGTTTTTCGCTGAGAGTGTGGGAAGAGAGGAAGGAGGGTGGCGATTGGCGTGACACATAGAAACGCATTGACCTGACACATTGACTTTTAGTATTTGATATTTCTATGAGGTGTTCAGCAAAATAATTTCCTCAAAATCGAATTTCTTTCTTGTCTTCCGGAATTTCTATTTGAATAAAGTCTTGCCGTACGATTTACCGAATATTAGTGCGATGGTAGTAGCTCATAATCTCGACCAACTCTTTGCAAATTAATTTCCCTGAAATTATTTCGACATTGTCACATTTTTGGCTGGTTATCAAGTGTATGCGTTAGAAATTTTACAACTTTTTGATGAGTGAATTATTTGAATTAAATATAAGTGAGGATAGGAAGCAGAACATTCCGTTACTTCTGTCGTCAGAAGTGACGGTATTTGGTGTATAATTACATGTATTGAATTCGAAGATAGTTATATTGTCTAACTGTTATTATCATTCATTAAGACAATACATGGGAAATCTTAATGGTTATTTTTGTCTTGCTTTATTTTTTACATTTTCGTTTTTTCTTTTTTAAAATTTTTGTTTTTCAGAGCAGAAGCAGCAGCAAATTCGCTCCTTGGAAATGTGAAAAAAGAGGATAGCGAATGGGAATTTCCTGTTTTATTTGGTAGTGCTAATCAAACTGATAATAACATGTCATTATTTGCAAATATGGATTCACCTGGAGGTTCCGCATCCCCTTATGCGCAGCAACAAGGTGATATTAATGCGGTTGATGGTACCAATACTGATGATGCATTGCTAAATGGAAATTGCAATTTCTCTAATGGAAATGGTGTTTCATCTGCACATTGTGTTCCCATATCGATTTCTTCATTATCTGTAAAAGGTTGTGCTATTTTTGAAAGCTTTTTGTTTTTGTTTACTGTTTCATGTATTTCTATTTGTAAACAATAATAGATCTTATTGATTTATGCACGTGCTGTTTCCCTAAACTCATCTCTGGTATTTGTAAAGTGTATTTGATAAGTACTCAGTAGTATTTTAATTACAGATCTCATGGCACGAAAGCGACCGCGTCAAAATATTCCAGATGGTCCGACAGCATTAGAAAGAAGAATTGCAAACAGTTTGGAAACAATTCAAGAATTCATCAGTAATGCATTCCAAAAGCAAAAAGAGCAAGAGGCGGAAAAAGAAAAAAGTCCAAATGCTGCTCTATTTCAGTGTATTGATCATCTCACTGCTGATATGTCACCTAAGGAACATCAGGAAGCATTGCGTGAAATTAAAAGATCTTGTGTGAGTATATGTGCTAGGATTATGTCTGAATCACAGCCATAGGTGTTATAATTCTTGTCTTATTCATGTTTGTGTTTGAAGCAAATATTGCTTGATTTTTGTTAAGCTGACTAAACAAAGTTTATCGCCTTCTTTACGATATAGAGCTTTAGCTCTATAAACAAATCAGGCTTCTTTGACCTTAATGCTCTTTATGCTCGCACATAATTCTAGGTACTTTTATTGTCTTTCCACTCTTAGAGGTATGGGAAAGATGGAGATTTTTAGAATAACGAAATGAATCTGATAACAGCAAATTTGTAAGTTTCTTCTTCTGGATGGATATCGGTAGTATTTAAGATATTAAGTTCAAGATTAAATTATTCATTGTATTACGTTTTATCTGTAATGTTTATCATTATATTGTGAATTGCAATACCTTTTATCGTACTCTATCCTTTCTTCCATTGTTTATTGTATTTTTGATCTCGTTTGAATGCAGTGATTTTTTTTTATTTTTATTTTTAAAAACATGGAGAGTATTTAATATTATTTAGCCTGGGATTGTGATAATACCTTTCATTTATTCGAAGAACTTACATGTCCTCGGTACACCCATCGTTTCTGCCAGAATACCTTCTCAAAAGTCATAACAATTTGATTATTTACTTTATCAATTAACATTTATTGTGTAATATGTTAAATTCAATGGAGACGGTCATTTTTTGATTATCCAACCTTATCAGCTGACGTTTATTGTTTTATATGTCAAGTTCAGTAGGGATGGATTGTATTATTCCGAAATTGCTATGCTTTAATATTTAACTGATTTCATTATGATGATGGTGACCTCACATATATAATCTTTTTATTAAGTGCATCATATTACATCTTGTAATACTTTTTTCTTTTATGTTATACTAGAAATGCATGAAGTGCAGCGTATATATGGAAGTCGGTGTGTGTACTACCGCTCAAGCTCAAATTTTAGAAGTGAAATAAGAATGCATGTTTAATTGCATACGGTGGTAATTATAGTATCTATTTCGAAACAGCGGTTTGAAGGTGCCTTCATATCTCCCGTAAGTGGAACGAATTTCAAGCAATTTCAAGCATCACTTTACTAGTGTGCCCCTGGAGAGTATGCGATTTTCGAGAAGTGAATAGTTTAAATAGCGACAATAAAATGTATGGAAATTGTTGGTGTGTCAGGAATTCCGAAAATTTATTTCAACTTGCAATATATTCACAAACCATAAGCACATTTCCATGAATGGGATTATGCTCCAATGCAGAATTCAAGAATTCTGATCAAAATTCTAAAGGAGGGAAAATTTAAGAAAGACTTTAGAATACCTATTCTAAAGCTATGCGATTTTTAAATCATTTTTATTCAGGAAGCAATTCGGGATTGTAGAAATCTCGTATAAATTCTCTAAAACTATAACGGCAATTGACGGTCGTAGCTTGAACGAGAAACAAAGAATACCAACATATTCACACGATAACATTAATTAGTATTATTGTGACGAAAGACATAACTCCTATCCATTTCCACAATCATATTTTCCGAACATTACTAGCATATCACGTTCCTCACTTCTTATTTTAAGAATTACTCGAACTTCTTTAAGCGCAAAAAATAAATTTCACACTTAAATTACACTTAAATTTTGTCCAGAACGAGACTGCATTCATACACTAAGAAGGCCTTCACTGTTATCGGCTATTAATTGTCATATTGACTTGCATGAAGTGAGAACAAAAACAGAAATAAATACCATTATAAATATTTCCTCAAGAGATCAGTGCATGAAAAAGACGACAAATGCAAATAAGGCTGCAAAGAAGGCCACCAATTGAATGAATGATAATTAACAATTATCAGTAACAATTGATTATCACCGTATCAAACTGTAGCATGCAATTAATGATGACAAATTGACTGAAAGACAAACTGTCATGAAACTGTGAAATTGATTAAAACTAAGATGAAGCAGTAACAGATTTTGTCACATATTACATTTCTCTCTTGTTTTTCTTTCTTTTCTCTCTCTTTGTAAACAGCATATCCTTTGTGTGGATCAAAAAGAACAGGGAATTTTTGTATTAGGATGTTGTTTAAAGCAATGAATAAGAACTTGATTGCAAAATGTGAAATATTTTTGGGATAGTGATATCATAAGTTTGTAAGTTACCCAAAAACGAAAAACTGTTTCCGACCTAAAGAGAGGTTTAAGTTAAAAATTAACAAGAGAGGTACTTCTCTGCATGTTTTTTTAATAAACTGATAACCGCATAAGCTTCCGGAAGAGGACAACTATCAGAGCCTTGCTGTTCCAGCACTTGCTCTACTTGAAATGCGAGCAGAGCTAACTGATCGATTTTACTATAGCCGCAAAATGGATTTTCCGATGATTCCACCTTCTGAAAATAATAATGGATAAACACAACAAATAGTATGGGATTAAGATAAATTTATTGCTAGATTTATTGATTTTGCATCCATGTTTCTACCTAATAGTGAAAAAAGAATCTGACCGAAGGTGATAATGCAACGGCATCAAGCAGGTCTGCCATTAAGCGAACACTACGGGTACCTTTTTCCTGCAATATTTCAGATTCCTCCAACAGTAGAAAATTCATAGTAAATATTAAAAATCTGTAGTAAGATTTCGACAAAAAAAATGATAAATTAGTAGAACCAGACATCGTAAAGCCTTATTCTTTATTTTCTTTAAAAAAGTAATCGGATCAAAAGAAAATTTATTACCGGGCAGTAATCAGGTGAGGAAGCCTGATTAGCTAATGACTGAATTGTTTTCGGCAACTGGCGAGACTGTTCAACTGAAATTTCCTAAAAATTATTACACAAACTTGATTTCAACTGACCGATTTACTTCCAAATGTAGTGACAACTACTTACCCAAGCCACCGCAATTGAGTGTTAAAATCGGGTTCACGAAGCGCAGAATGAAGAATACACTGAAAATAAAATCGGTACGTACTGGCCTTTAGATGTTGGAATTGTGCGGGAGAAGTAAATAAACTTCAACATGTTTCTAAAAAACATTTCGAAAATTAACACCCATGAAAGGAAACTTTCCATTTAAGGTTTCTTTTCCATCCATGACACAACGAAATGAACTGATAAAAACAGCTCCTTTAGTGAGAGTAATTTTTGCTGTTAAGTTTTTGCAAAACTTATGGAACCTCCAAACAGATTGCTTCGCCAGTTCAATTACTAAAAAATATTTTACCTGGCAACTCGACGTGCAATATATTTAGAATCATTGAAATAAGCTTTTGCTGTTTTTATGATATGTGACAGAATGGCGCGGAAAAGAAGAGGTAGATGCTCAGATAAACTCTTCAGGGCATTCATGATTTCCAATTCGTGCTTTGGTGGCCCTCCAGTTAGCAAATTAGCTAACTCCTCCGTAACCAGATCTTTACCAGTCATGCGTAGGACTGTTGAAATACAGCAAGTACAAAATGAATCACACCGGAAAAGTGTTACTTCTGAAAGAAAAAAATATAAGAGAAAAGAAAAATAACTGTAAGAAATTAAAGATTACATCAACTTTGAACTGATCTTTATCCTCCAACTGTTAAACTTTACCACGAGCAATTTTTAGTAAATTTTGCAGCACTGCTAGCCTTTTATTAAATGCCTAAATGCAACTGTTTATTTCCTGTTAAGAATTTTTCTTTTTTACCCTCTAAGAACTTTAGAAAAATTTTGTTAGACCTTTATGAATTTCAATTCCTCTTTGTGTGCCAACTAATATGCTTAACACTCTTCCCGATAGATTTGGAATTCCAATACTTTCAATTTTATAAATGTGTTAATTCAAAAAGTACAAACCAGTTTCACGCTTAATTTGCTCCCTGATGATAACTTCAACAAATGACGTCAATAATTCGTAATTTGGCAATAGGACAGAGAGTAACAAACGAGCAAAGTAATTTCGATTAAAGATATCCAAGACGGAGCCAACCCAAGTGGATAAAATAAATGATCGCGTAGTGAGCAACACAAAAAATGATGCATATTGTTCTTCGGGTAATAAAACGATACGATGACGTACCGCACGAAACACAAATCCTTCAAAATTATCTTCCACGCAAAGCTCTTTGCCGTCGTCTGCTAGTACATACAGTGGTGATATATCTGAAATTAACTTGAATGACTAATAGCAATTCCTTTCAAAAAAAAGAAATCAGCAATATAATGCATTATTTACTTTTACTGATTGCGACAGCATATTTAAATCGTATTATATCTTACAGGTCTAATATCTTACTATATATACATAATACGGTAAGAGTTTAGTATCCTACTACACAAGCATATTTCAAAATTTAATACAAATGTTACAATTCAGAAAGACAAAAGAGCGAAAGACAAATGAAAGTACAATATATTCTTGACATTATTAATGGAAAATAAAATTTATTACATAAAATATACCTTTCTGCAAATAATCACTGAATACAACATTACGCGTCTTTGTCGATGAAGGGTTGTGCGAACAAAGCACAAGTTTCAATGAACATGGCCCAGGAGGAATATACCTGAAGCAGAAATGAAAACGGAAACTAATGTTAGAAAGATTGGATAGCATGAAATTAATTTCTTCCAATGGTCAGATTATTTGCAAACCAAAAATAAAAAATAAAAATATTGATATTACAACATCTAGTCCGTTCAGTGTAATGTTATTATCAAAAAGAACTTACTGTAGTAGAAAAGACCTGTTGAATATAATGGTATTTTTTACAGGCATCACTTGTTGAGTTTTAGTTAAAAAAATTCCATTGATTGCTACCATCGCACTGTATGAGGTATCGGGTTTAAAATAACTACCCCTGAAATCAGTTTGGTCACATGCTCTAATTCGTTACCAAAAAGCTCTTCGTAATAAAAAATTTCACATCGAATAAAAAAAACCAAGATACATGATTACAATTTCTGGAATAGCAATGCTTGGGCATTGTCCGAGAATAACAGGGCTATGTGTTAGCTAGTTACCGAATTAACAACAAATTAATGAAACAAAGTTTTCCTAAGCTTCTTTCCGAATACTAAGCATGAATTCATGCGCTTATAATCACGTCATCACTGGATAATATATTAAATGAGAGTGTGATTTTGATTAAAATATATCTCCCATGAATTAACGAAAACTGCAACCCTCATTATTTAGATAATTTTCATGCAATAATATTTCACATTAAGTGAAACCTACCTGAAACTTGTTAAAGTTAAACAAATAACAGTTGTTGAGCGAATAAAATAATCCTGTATGGCAGGGATTACAGCAAATGGTGATGGTGAATATCGACAACCGAAACATCGTAGTCGTAATTCATTGAGCCAATTTAGATAAGTGCCTTCGTTTTGAAATGATAAATGAACTGATGGATAAATATCCAGACCATTTGAAGCAACCAGCAAACAGTTTGCTCTATCGAATGATCCTTCTGGTATTTTATAAACAAAGCAAAAACCAAGATCCAGAACTACTTTTGGCTTTGTCCTCTGCAAAAGAAAACTGTCCTTGTAAGTAATTCATTTACATGAATCATAGAGATAACATGTAGTAATGGAACAATATAACTTCAATCAGTTAAAAAGTGGTACCTTTTCATAATCTAAAACGTAGAGTTGTGAGCCATTCGAATCACTAAGTGTTACATAACAACGCTTCCACTTATCTTCTTTGCCTGAAACTTATGAAGATGTGAAATTTCCACAAATTTCAATTTCTATCAGTCTTTACTTAGGTTATTACTAGGGTATCATGACATCCATACTACACCAACACATTGTAGATTGACGTTCCCTTTTTATACCCTATTCTGCATGTCAATTTATTGTGCATGATTTTGTGAAAGCAACAGATCAAAATATTCTATTTTTGACGACCAAGTCAAACTATGAATCTACTTATAGCCACAGCCGCATGGGAATCTTCATAGAGGAATCTTCATTTTTTCTCGCTCGAAATGTCTTAAAATTTCAAATGATTATATGACCACTAACAGAAACCAACAAAACAAATAAGTCCCTACACCGTCGATATGCCAGAACAGTCTGTGGACAAAAATTGTTGGTGGTTAAGCTCTGCAATTTCCTATCCGCATTTTTTCCCGACAGATCTCTGTCAAATGCATTTGCTAACACCGCACGCATCAGATGAGATCCTTCGCTGATTTCCTTCTCACTGTACCTACAAAACGATGAGTTTCAAATTTATATATTTTTAATAACTTACACAAGTCACACGGTGTCTAGTGGAAAGGGATGACAACGGTACTGTAAATTCGAAACAACTATCAACAATGAAAGCCAAATGTTACATCAAATGCAGAATAATCAGCG